GCTCCAGTAATCTGTTAAAGCTTTATATGAAACAAAAACTGAGCCCTGGGATGACTGTACCACAGGCAGGTCTACGGCCATCAGCTGAAGTTTTTTAAATTTTATTTACATATTTGTAAACAACAGGATTCAATGCAATATTTATACTTAGAAAGGTAAGAAAACAGGCAGGGTTCTATGTGTGTGTGTGTGTGTGTGTATGTGTGTGTGAGAGAGAGCTAATGCATGCCTGTGTGTCTATACATCTACAGTGTGTGTGTGTTAGGTCAACGTAGAACATTCTTATCATCATACTGCTGCAGCGTGATCTCCAAGTTAATTTAATCAGGTTCTATTTACACACGTCATTCACTTTAGTTTTCAGTTTCCTGTACAGAACACAACCTAAAAGTGAAACATATCAAAGCAGAGCACGTGTCGAAACACAGAGAGACACATGCAGAACTAAAACGAAACAACAGGCAGATTGATAAAAAGGAAGTTCTTCAAACATGTTCTTAACTCACTCTGGATTCAAACCCAACACATTAAAGGTCGTTTCTCTTCAGCTTTTCTTTTTGGGTTGTACATTGACTTCTTTCAGGCTTCAAGGTTCAGAACTTCTGGACCTGTAAAGTGCACTGTAGTGCCAGACACCGGACTCAGTTATGGAATATCGGTATCACAGACAAACAATACTTCTCAGCTCCAGAAAATGGGAAACGGCCCGTTTTTACATCCAACCATAATGTTTAAAGTCACAGTTCACCCAGTGAGAGGTTCTGCTGTTTATTCAGCAGCTGAGAGGAGGAAGAGGAGGAAGAACCAAAGCAGGGAGAAGAGTGTGAGCGGGAACCAGAATGAAACCCAACTGTGGCAACATGAGCAAAAGATCAGGAAAAGTTTAAAGAATTTGTTTTTACTTACCCACAAAATGTATGATTTAATACCTGAAAATGTCTCAAAAAAGAAGAAAAAAATTAAAAATAATCAAATGATCTTAATTCAGTTGGTTTCATTAGTGATGAGATTATGGCAAAGAATTCACAAAAGATGCCATCTAATAAAGAAGAACTTCAGAGAAAAGAACCTCTAGTTTGAAATGTAAGAGAATCCAAAGAAATCTAAAAAACAAAATAAGAAAAATATTAAGTTTTCTTAAAAACTTAATTAACCTAAAATTATTTTCCATTTTTAACATAAATATTTCAATACAATGAGAATGTGTATTTAACTGAATTTTAAAAAAATGATAAAAGTATTTAGAGAAAGTTTAAATGAAATATTGTTAAAGTAAAGACTGACATCCTAAAAACACATTGAGCCACGATTTTGACCAACTACTTTTCTCTGGAGCTTTTCTGATCATTTTTAAAACTAAGTGGTCTTTTTAAGCAAGGCTTTTTTTTTATCACATTGTCAGAGCTGGGCTTCAAAGACAAAGTACCAGGTGCTGGTTGGATGGAAAAACCTGGCCCTTTGATGCAGCCCCTGTAGGAGAACTGGAGGTGAGAAGACTGTTGTTGAGGGAGGAGAGAGGAGGACTTTGTTTTTTTCTTTCTGTTTTTCAACACAGACCACCAGTGTCTGAACAGAGAAATGAACACGTGCACGTTCAACAGTTCTCATGGACACAGCCTTCAAGAAAGGACGACGTATATTCATCTTCATCCTGATACAAGCAGACATAGACTGACACGCTGGTGTGAGTCACTGCAGTCGTCACTGATAAAGTGTCAAAAATCACCATCTAAAAGTGAAATATTCAAAAACACAGGCTGGTCCAGCAGTAGAAAACAGCTGATATCCACCCAGGCTCAGAAGTATTGCAGTATGTTGTTCAGAAATACTAGGCTAATAAATATTAGTACAACCTTAAGTATAAGTAATGTAAAGTAGTCACAAAAGTAAAGGGATAGTTCTTTTGTTCTCCCTAATGTTGTTCCAGAATAAAAATAGTACAAAAAAACGTGTTTGTCTGAATCTGTGTCTAAGTTTTTAATATTTATCATTTTGGTTAATCTGATTCTCATTATCACTCCTTTGTGTTGTTGTATGACAGAGCTGATCAACAGTGAAACTAGAGAAAGTCAATGATTACAACACACAGGCCAAAGTCCATAGAGAAAATCAGTGATTTTAGCCAAAGGGGAATCATAACCTTCTGGTTCCCTTTAGCCTCCTTCGGTCAGTTAAAGTATTTAAGGGGGATAACAAATTGTTCCCACAAAAACTCAGCGTAACTCACACAACACACAAAATAGCTGTGTTCCTATGACAATAAAACAAATAGATTTAAAAAAATGTTGATTTTCTCTAAAGAGTTTTGCATTGTAGTTTGCAAACTTAAGCATACTGCTGAGAAAGTCTGCCAAACAACTGAGTAGTAGACACATTCCTTAGATATTGTAAAACTAATTTCAAAAAACTAATATCAGCTGAATGTTACAATTAAATGTCTAAAATATTTTTTCAACAAGCAGACCTCAAACAAACCTGAACTATCCCTTTAACAAACCCAAACGTGACTTTTAACTAAATGATATCATAAAGCTCATCAGTTAATTGAAACACATCAAACATTAAGTAAATATCTGATAGTAAATGGACGTAAACAGATTTGGTTAAATAAGTAAATAAGTGGATTACACACAGAAGAAAAGAGCCGTACTGTATATGCAGATGATTCTGACAGTATTCCTTCTACTTCTGCACATGCTCAGGAACCCAACATCAATGGCCAGATAATCCTGACTTTAAATGAAAAAGGTGCAAGTTCTTTTTTCTGTCTCAGGCAGTTTTCCTTTCAGAAGCCCCATTGGCAGGAGGTGAAAAGAACAAGACAAAAAGAAAAGAAGAAATCCCTGCCACCAACGTTGAAGGAGCAGGAAGGAGGTTCTTACATTCTCCTCCTCCTCGTTTCGTTTCCAATTCACCCTCTCTCCTCTTCCTCACTTCACACCACTGTGCTGACAGACGGGTCAGATAGGTTGAGTTGGCCTGTGATGTCAGTGGGTGGGTATTGCTGCAAAGAGAAAATAGAGAGAAAAAAAAACATACGAAAAAGAGAATAAAAGGTTATTTTTGTTTGGTCATTCAATTAAAATAAGTTTCTCCTGCATATTCATTTCAAAGTTCAGTTTTCCGTTAGGTATAGTTTATATGAGATATTGACATCAACAGTGATTTGGACAGAAAAATACACCCCTTGATACTCAACACCAAAGTCCATAGACAAATCTGTGATTTGATGTCACAGCAGATGGGGTTGTTGTTATCACACGTGTGTTTCCATCAGTGAGTTCAAATCATTTTTTTCAACTTCAGTGTTTGAAATGATCTGTTCAAATTTCCTTTAAAGACACAAACTGGCCACAGGAGGCAGCAGAGGACCAGCATCTGCTGTGTCTCTGTGAGTTAATATCGCTGATTTCCTCTACGGACTTTGGTGTGAGAGGAGACTATTCTGTTGGAAAACTCTAGAGCGGTGACTGTTGGTTGGACACTGTCGATCTCAGATGGCACTGTCACTCTCACTGTTCACATCAGTACGTCATACCAAAACATCTTAATTATTATCCTTTAATTTGAGCTGTGCACTAAATAAAAAAATAAACTCAGACCCCTCTCAGACAAACCATGGTGTAAACAGTAAATATTATATATGAGGTTTTGTTGAAGCTGTTTTGACTGAGTGGGGTTCCAGCAGACGTGGAACTAGAGCAGCAGCAGCAGCAGCAGCAGCAGGTCTACTGCTGTCATCGCAGAACTCATTGATTTTCATTCTAATAATGATTTCCTGCTGTGGATTCATTGACCTTCTCTCACCTCAGATGTCACAGGAAGCTGTGGTGCATTATAAAACAACTCAACCCTGACGATGACCAATTATTCTGAGGCAACTGGTTTCTCTTTTAAACAACTGACACAACGAGCACCGCTGCTGCTGTTTTAGAATCTCACGCCACTCACACTTATTTTCATCTTGTTCAATAAAAGCAGAGTGTGTCAAAACTGTATCTGGTCTGCAGTACTGAGGAGGAGGAGTGTGCGGGGGAGCAAGGTCCTGGTTTCCTGCAGGAGTTTAGTTACTATGGAAACAGTTACTTCGTTCTCGGACGAGTATTTTCTGCAGAACAAAAGTAAAACATGCTTCTTTTTACTGGATGATAGTGTACAAAAGGCCAGGGACAGTTTTTCTTCTTTTTTTTACAGAGTTCTGTTCAACCTTAACATTGAGTGAGTGACAGTGAATTATTCTAACTTAAAATGGTCTCGTAAATTTAATCTTTTTTTGTCCAAATTCTTCCACTTATTTTTTTAAACCTTATTTATATTTGATCATTTGTAAAGATTGTCATTATAAAGTCTTTTGGAAAACGATGTAATGACCTAAAACAGTGCTGACTACAATCCTTTTTGTCCTGCAGGAAAAAACAGGTATCCCTTAAACTACATATATAAGAAACATCTGACATATTTGTAGCTAATGGTCAGGTGATCTTCTGTGTGGAAGTCATAGAGGTACAGAGACATAGTCAGCACTGAGTGGGATGTGAGCGCCCCCTAGGGTGAGAACCAGCCTCAGACAAGACGGATGGAACTGAACACTTTGAAAAATTGAATACAAACAGACCTTAGAAAAATAGACCCAGGAGTGGTGGACTCACTGCCGTCTCCATTATTAAGTGCAATATGTTGTTTTGTGAGTTCTTGTTCAGGTTTACCTCAGTGATACAAACTGACCACAGGAGGCAGCAGTGCACTGAACTGTGACTCTGACTTAAAATCACTAATTTTCTTTATGGACGTTGACATGAGAGAGTGAGTGGTTGACAAGCTCCACTTGAAACATATTGAACAACATAATGCAGAAACGTAATGTTAATTATTTCAAGTGACTGTTTATGTCCCTTCCACAAAGTCCATAGAAAGACAGTAGGGATTTTAGTTCAAAGACACAGAAGCTCTGGGTCCACAGGTGCCCCCAGTGGTCAGTTTTTTATCACTGAAGTAAATCTGACAGATTCACATAATAAAAGATTGAAAAACTGATGTCATGTAAAATGGAGAATTATCCCCATCTACACTTGTAAGGTAAAATCCAAACAAACCTGTGCTTGCACTGGAACGATCTAAGACTTCAGATGTTATTTTTTATTTAGGCCTTCAATCTGTTTCTTTGTGATCAACCCCATTATGCCATCATGTCTCAGTCTGGTTCTGAAAATAAATAAAATACCCCACATTCAGGTCAGAACTATGTCAGTAACATCTGGAACCTCCTCCCATCACGTCAGAAACCCATCTGATCTCACATCACAGGACTAAAGAACCGGAGCAGAGGAGCTTCAGAGGCTGCTGTGATGTAGCGGACATGCAGACAGATGAGGAGGACGTCCACACCGAAGCTTTGACGTCAGATGTGATGGAAAGGTCATTTCATTAATGTTCTGCTGCTTTCAGAGTGGCCGTGGCCTCATCTCCCTGACCCGTCACCTACATCATAGTTACCCTGCCCCATTTTGGGCACCTGCACCGTGTGGCTCTGTTGACAGTGTGCCCTACTGGGGGTCCAGTCCACCAGCAGGAGACACTTGATTGACATCACAAAGCTGCTTATTGTTGGAAATTAGCGATGATCATTTTCTACTGTGACTACGTCAAGGACAGCCAGAGTCATGCGTGCAGAGGGAGAGAGGAGCAGTGTGGCATGTGGGTGAGGGACACTGACACTCAAGTCCATTGATATCCATCAATATAAAAGAAGAACATTGATATAAAATCAAAAAATAATGGTCAAAGACTGAGGATGGCACTTCTGTCATCGTGTTTCTTCACATCAGACTGACACCTGGTGTTTGTTTTCCACTTGAAGACATTTTTTTCCCATTTCATCCCAGACACTGAATCCTGGTAGTTTACACACATCACCACGGAAATAGTAATAGGAACTTTGATGTCCCTTCGTATAAGACCTCTGTACTCCAGAAGAGGGAACAGGCGGAGAGAACTCTTTCAAAGGATAGTTTGGGTTTTTGAAGTGTGGTTCACTATGGTACGACACATGATGCTTTCAGAAACAAACTTCTTACATAGAAGTTTGTTTCTATACCCAACACCTATACCTGAAGAAAACCAACAACGAATCCACGGTGACAGAGGAGCTGCTGATCTACTGAAGGTTCAATTCATTTCAAAAGCTTGGTTCACAGGCCCACACTGGAAATCCCACTGACAGGGGGCAGGAGTGGACCAAAATCCTCTTCAACCCTAAGGTTTTTCTCTATTGACACTCCAGCTGTTTCCTTATATACAAACATATTTATATATATAAATATATATA